TAACAGTAACAGATTTGGTACGAGTATTTTCATATGTATGCATATCTTTTAATTTGTATCTAGTAATAATTTGAAAACTACTATTATTTTGAAATTAACGAAATCAAATGACATTAATATGAATTTCGATAACAAAAGTGATAATGATAGAGGTGATTATATCGATAACGATTGCAATATCGATAAATTTTTTTATAAAAATTTCGATAGTTACAGCGATAAATATATCGATAACTTATTCGTGGTATATATCGGTACAAACATGCATATAGCAAAAAGCAGAAATGTTCCGATAAATATACACATCGTTACCTTAATATTGAAAGGCCCTAACTCATTTTAATCCGAAGTTTAGCTCTGTACAAAAGTCCTACCGAATACTCACAAATGGCTTAATCGAATTTGAAATCAACTACTACATCAAAAAAATAGTTTATGTGTTTATTAAAAACCAGTGTAATCAAAAAAAATATCAACTGAAGATCTTTAGTTTTCACAAAGTTTAATAACTACCCTGGAAAGAAACAAAAATGTTATATAGAGCCTTTCTACATTAAAGTAAAGTTATGTTTGCTAATTTTTCTCCATATAAAAAAGTAAGTGCGCCTGGGCCACACTGGAGAAGTTACATATCTAGTTTGTCTCATAACCAATATTTATATGTAAATATACATACATTTTCATTTTTTCTATCTAGATCCCTACCTCTACCTTTTTCGTTTTAATTACATTTATGTTATTCTGTTTTCCTTTATCTTTATTTTTATCTTTGTACTCTGGTTTTTATAAAAGTAAAGTGTTTAAATTTATCTTGGTCTTCATCTCCATATTCACCTATATGCTGTGAGGTACGATGACATGATAATATGCTATGTGATGTGATGTCAGGTAATGAGATGCCATTTGATGTGATTTCATGTAATGTAATGTGAAGTAGTGTGATAGGATGCCATGTCATGCCAAATGATGTCATATCATATGATGTTCTGCCTTATGATGTCACAGCATGTGTATCGATAATAAAATCGATAGTAACATCGATTAAAATACCGATAAGAAACCCGATAAAATTATCGATAACAAATTCGATAAAAATATCAATAACAAAATCGATAAATACATCGATAACCAAAACCAATAAAATATCGATAACCGAATCGATAAAAATATCGATAACAAAATCGATGGTCCCGAGAATATCGAAAAGATGCCACGAAAACCTGTATGACTTTCTTTGCCAAATTCTAGTCGTCAATGAAAAAGGATCTGAATGGAAAATTTGTATTAAAAGCTACAAACTTTTTAAATTAACTTAATAAGGAAGTGCTTTCGGGCCGTTATAAAGAATGAAAATTAGTATTTTCTTAAGAATATTTATACAAGCTAGTATTTGGGATAATAGGACGACAAGAAGCTGCCTATACGACGCCATGTCTAAATTTGGCAAATAATACGGCTTTGGAGAGTGACGTTGGGAACAAATTTTGGCTACGTTCAAACTGCGTAGGTTCTCTTCGTGCCGTTAGAGACCAACGAGTTCAGTGGCGGATCCAGCGGGGGGGTTTTGGGGGTTAAACTACGTGTCAGTCAGTGGCTGACCCACGGCGGGTGTTTTAATATGGCGCATATGTATGTATAATATGGCGTCTATGTATTAAAACACCCCCCGTGGGTCCGCCCCTGACTGACACGTAGTTTAACCCCCAAAACCCCCCCGATGGATCCGCCACTGAACGAGATTTAATTAAGAAGGCTGACTTTGGTGCGACTTCTTCAATCTGATGCTGGACGCGTAATAAGAGCTACCTATATGAAGCGTGACCACATCATATAGAGCAAACGAACTGTTGCTGGCGTATGCAGATGATATTTGTATCGTCGATTTTCACACCAGAGCCGAAAGCGAAGCCTTTTCCAGCATAGGGGAGGAGTGTGAAGATCAGGCCAATAACAACTCTTGCCAAGAGACGCAGACGTAAGCAATGGAAAATATGACCCTTTTCCCGACGAACAGAAACCACGCTCTATAAATCTGCCATCATGCCCGTCGTTTGCGCAGAGACGTGAACGATGTAGAAGAGAGTTAAGTAGGCCCCTAGGGAGCTTTTGAGAGAACTATTATATCCAAGAAAAATATAGATTCGCGAAATAGGCGAGCTTTTTAATGACATGGACATAGTCGAACACATAAATCTACAATGGATTGGGCATGATGAACGCATGGTTGGTGGCAAGATCCTTCAACTCGGCATCCACGATAATAATAATTATAGATTGGCGCTTTCACATATGTGAGTGTTTGGCCGAGCTTCTCCTCCGATTTGTGGCGTGCGCCTTGAGTCGCCTCGACTGCGGACCCGGATATCGACACATTCTCATCGGAGCAGTTTCTGCAGAGAGAAGTCTATGGTATGCGCCATCTTTGGAGCCTCGGAGCAATATCACAGTGACCTGTCTGTGATGACGCCATTAAGAACTCATATTGCACAAGGTCGTTCTCGCGCCTTAAATGGCCTTCTGCGCTACAATTGCCTGGTTTCGAAAATAAGTCATTTCGATGGCCACGAGCTACCTTATCTCAAACTAGTCAAACTGTCATTCAACTTATCCTATCTTGAACATCGTACGATGAACTATTGTAACATTGTACTAACTCAGCCAAGCACGATTTTATCATCTAATTTCAGCGCTGTCAAACAAACTATCCTCATCCAGCTGTGTCTATTTACTTGTCCTGGACAATGACAGCATCCGATGAGGCGGCTATTGGGGTATTCGAAAGAAAGATTTTGTGGATGATTTACAAGCCTTTACGCATTGCCGTGTGCGAGTACCGCTCTGTATTAGTTTAACAAAGGCATAGACATAGTGCAGCGACTTAAAATACAGCGGCTATACTGGCTTGACCATGTCGTTCGAATGGACACCGACGCTCCAGCTCTGAAAGTCTTCAACTCGTAGCCCGCTGGTGCTAGCAGCGGGAGGAGAAGGCCCCAACTTCGATGGAAAGGCCAAGTGGAGAAGGACCTGGCTTCATTTGGCATTTCCAATTGGCATATATTGGCACAGAAGAGAAATGACTGGGCGTGCTTTTGTTGAACTCGGCCAAAATTGCTTAGGCGGTTACAGCGCCAAATAAGAAGAAGAACAATGTTAAGCTGTTAAATTATGAATTGCAATCATATTGTTCGAAATAAGTTAATTAGTTAGCAGACCATTTCTCGTACACTGAAAATAAAATTTCGTAAAAGTGCTACGAAAAAATTTCGTAGTCTTGGTTTTTGTACAATGTACGAAACTTTCGTTCATAATACGAACACATTTTTCACAACGAAACAAGATTTTACGAACCATTCATAAATATAACGAAAGGACTTTCGTAAGGCATTTTTTCAGTACAATTTACGAAATCATACGTTTATTTTACGAAACACACTCGTAAATTACTGAACAAATCTCTGTACGAATAATTTTGTATATTGTAGGAAGGCATTCGTAATATTTACGTATGGTTTTAAAATTTACGAAATCTACAATTCTGTATTCGTACAATTTACTAAATACTTTCGTACATAGTACTAATGCAGAAACATGTTTTTTTAAATTCGTACAATATACGAATATTTTCGTACAATATACTAAATTGCCGGCAGTTTAATATTTCATCATATTTTTATATAGTACCGCGTGTCATTGCGAAATTACCTGTTGGCTGCTGAGGGACGCATAGTATAATTAATCATATAATTATTCTTAAACATTGGAACCTATGATTGCTAACTGCCAAAGGTAAGCGAGTGAATTTTAAGTTTGTTTTTTCTTTTACTTGTGTGTTGTGTTTTTTTTTTTTAATTTTTTTTACATCGCAGTTTTCGCCGTATGTTTGAATAAAGTGTGGTTTGCGGAATTTCCTGTTGGCTGCTGTGAGACATAATTTGTGTAATTAATCATACAAATTATTCTTCAACATTGGTACCTGGGATTGCTAGCTGCTCAAGGTGAGCGAGTGAATTTTAAGTTGGTTTTTCGGGAAATGTTTAGTTATTGGCCCACCTTTTTTGGGTTGGAAGCGGAGGGGAAAGGTCGTGGCCCCTAAGCCCCTTCCATTAGAAAAGGGACAGTTCCAACTTTATGCTCTTCTTTCTCCTCCGACTCCCGGGCTCCTCAGGCGAGTGTCTTCAAAATGGCGGCAAAACCGTTGCTTTTGCTTACAAATTCCACAACTGTTTACAATACACCAAATAAATAGTGATTTTTTGCTTGGATTTAGTTACTTATTAAATTTTAATGAAATTTATAGCACTTTCAAAGGTTTTTTAATAACAAATAGCCAAAACCCAAATTGGAATAAACAAGCATATTTAATTTAACACCTATTGCAGGTGTTGCCACTCCACCAAATATTCACAACATTACAATCAGGTTACTCTTCAAGCCTTTTAAATAGTACATTTTCACGACTCAATAATATTATTATTAGAACAAGTGTAGAATAGCGCTTGGTTCTTTTTCGGAACCAGAAATGAGGTTCTTGATAACCTCACTGCTTTTTGCGATTTGCTTGTTGATAAAGTTTTTCCGAATCACATCAAGGAATTCAAAGATTATGCTAATATGTACTACAAAATAAAGAAAAACAAAGTCAATCTCTCAGAAGGTAAACACACTCTTGGGGTATTCACTCCTTCCTGGTTATCTGGTTAAAATTTTGTATTTTGGTATTTGGCTGTGTATTTGTAAACTGAGTTAAAAATATAACCACATAACCAGGAACGAAATATTTTAACCTTACTTGTTTTTGATTCTATTTACAAATGTTTTGCTCAACTTAGATTCCATTTGCGCCAAAGCTTTTGTTCTTTTACAGTCACTGCTGCCACGCTCTCGACTAGCTCATAATAAGACTAATGCAAAAAAGGCTTTATTCTATCAAAGAGTCACTAGACAGTTTTATGGTTGTTTGCGCAACTGAAACGGAATATAAACAAATGTATGATTGCAAAGTCCAGGCAGAATCATCTATTGCCCCCTTCATATCATTAATTGGAACCCTAGATGAGCCACAATCATTCATGATTGACTTTGACAACATCATTTACAAAGTTTTCAACTTCGCGAAAGCTGTGGATATATGTTTTAAAGCATACAATGTTTTTAATATGGCCTACGCCGAGCCATGCGCTGCAATGTGGGACTTCATTAACAGACAATTCTATCAGTTAACTATCAACGCCAAGCCCAAGCCAGGAATAGAGGCACTGCTTAATGAAATTAAAAGTAAGTACATGTATGATTTTTCACTGAAACTTGCCCTTATAATTTTCCTTTAATTTATAGTCGCAAAAGAAACAAACCTAGAAGAAGATACGAATCTGCCGAGCACCTCTACATTTTGTTAAATACACTAAAATTTACGATAAAAATATAATAAAACCCACCATGCAAAACATGAGAAATAGGCAACAATCGTCAATGTCAACAAATTCGCGACTCGCCGATTTATTGCCGTAGTGAGAAATCGGCAACATCATTTCTTTTAAGTCATTTTACGAATATGTTATCAAAAATTCCCAAACTGATGAACTTCGCGTCAACAGGATTCTTCAAAAGCATCTAATTTATGCCCAAGATAGGGTTGAAAAAATAGGAAGCCCCACAACGACGAAAATAGTTAATTTCGTTTAAAAATTATAAGTTTGTATTCAAAAACAAATGAAATATTAAAAAAGAATACAATTGTTCCAAGAAATTATTACTCAAATATCGCCTGTGTTATAATTCGTTCTATGTTTTTTACAGTGTGGAGAATGAAAACAATCGTACATCCTACGAAACAAGCGCCGATTTTACAAAAATAATTTCGGTAAATATACGAATTATTTTTGTGCATTTTACAAAAAGGTCGTAAAAAAATAAAGAAATAGTACGAAATTCTTTTGTAAAATTACGAAATTCGTTAGTAAATAGTACGAATACATTTGTAAAATGTACTTAAGATCTGATGTCTCATATTTTCGTAGTATGTACGAAAACGGTTTTGTACAATCAACGAAAACTTTCGTGGCTCCAAATGACGAAAAATTTCGTAAGATTTACGCAAGTTTTCGTTATATTTACGCAGTTTTTATTTTCAGTGTATTACTGTGATAGTGCTATGTGCTATCAAAAGTTTACTTACGTATGTACTTATACCTAAACCTATTGGTATCCATTCTTAATAATTTATTTAAATGTTCGCAAAAATAATTCAAAAGTTTATTGCAAAATCTTGCGCGTAAAATGGGTTCAGCGTCCCACAAGCTACCTACACACAGCGTTTGTATGTAGATATGTATACTCTTGATATACTATGTGTACGAAATTAATTCCATACACATGTTGCAAGACCATATGGAGGCAATTACCCACTCTAAGATGGAGCAACAAACACTAAATACTAGTACAATAAATGCTCAGCGCAACGTAAAATGCTGCAATCGCCTATAAGTAGCTGATTCTCTAAATGAAAACATTGTTGCTCACCTTACATTCGAACAGACGATTTAACCCAGCGTTGACGGCCGCGTTGTTGAGATCGTTTAATCCATATTGATGCATGTGTGTTTGCTTATGTCTGCATCGATGCAACCTCCCAAACACCACCGCCTCATTCATTAATTACAAATTGATCGGCTTGGTGATCAGTGATCAGTGAGACACTAGCGATTAGAGCGTTGAGTGAATGAGTGCAGATGATCTTATTGCTTGCTGCTGAGCAAATACTCATGCGAGTGAGTAATCTTGACAGCAGCGTTTTAGCAGCAAAACGCTTATACATTTGCACTGAAGTAGCTGATAAATAAAGCTTTTTTTGTAAACTAGAGCAGCAATATGCATACAAACTCACATACAGATGGATTAAGATATATTTGTAGGTACATATGCATAATACAGATGTAAATAGCAAAATTGCAAGTAATTATTAAAATACAGATGGACGTATAGATATACAAACATACATACATGTATGTATAAGGTATGTTAATTTTTTAGCTTTTCCGAACCCGGGATTTTCGGGATGTCGTTATCACAACCCCGGGATCCCGGGATTCTGATATTCATTACATTTCACCAACCCAAATCGAAAAAATTGCTTCTATATTGTTTAAGAAGCTCTCCTACGATAATATAAATAAATGGGTTTGAAACCTGCTTTTTATTTAAAATTGCGTTTTTATTTTTTTCTCTCTTTTCTCTCTGACGTCAGGACTTATTTTAAAGGACTTTGTGATTTCAAATATATGATAAATTCCAAAAATTATTTATAAAATTCCAATGCAATGTAGAGTAAAAATGAAGGTACCAAATGCAAGAGAAAATTTCTTTTGAATTAAAAAAAAAATAAAAATTTTTGGGATTCACAAGGGCGAATAGGTAATTTTTTAAGCTGATAAAGTTGGAAGGACGAAATTTGAGGATGTTATCGAGTCTGCAAATGAATGCATAAGTCCTTAAAATATAATTTTTTCAAAAATAAATATTGCGAAATTTAAAGGATAAAAATTCAATGTCATTGAATATGAAAATGCCATTTTTCAATATTTACCAGTCCTTCTGCACCAACAACTTGAACCTGTTTAATTAAATTCTACAGGATTTCCTCTTTAATTTAATACCCCATACTTCTTCTCTAAGCACATTTCTCTGAATTTTTTTAATTATTTTTGAATTACTGACGTCAGAGTGAAAAACCAAAAACGCAATTTTACTATATTTGGCCCATGGTTTCGCGAATAAATTGATTTTTGTGTGTAAAATTTACTATCGCACGGTGTTATATGTACATATAATGAGCTAGACATTTATAGAAAATATTAATTATTAAATAAAAAAGGAAATTTACCCAATACTGCTCAAGAAAAGGAGTTTCTATTATTGCCATTAGTGCAAACTACAAATCCCGAAAATCGCGTGATTAACATTCCTAGTATGTATATACATTGGCAGTTGTGGCTTATGTTATCGTCAGTGTTGCCAGAAAATTTTGTTAAAAATCTTCCATGTGATGATAAAATCTTCAAAAACCATAAAAGAGATACTGAAACTGGAAAAAAAATTTTTTCTCTAAAAATATATTTATTAAAAATTTTTTTATTAAAATTGTATTCCTATACAAATTCATAACACATTTAATTAAAAAAAAAGAATAACAAGTTCATGAATTCAAACATGGTAATTAACAAAAAGTTGCAGAGAACTGTAAAAATATACATGTATATATAATAATGTACA